AAAAGACACAAGTGAACCCCAAAAAAAAGACACAGGTGACCCCCCTTCCCTGTATTAAGACTGCCTTGGCTTACCTGGACTCATTTGCTCTTGGGAGTCATGTGCTCTTGGGGAGCACACAGCCTGTTGCCAGGGTACAAAGAGGGTCCTGGAAAGAGTGCGTCTCTTGCTCGGTTGTGGTCGGGGTGTGTATTTCAGTGTTCTGTTGCCGCCTTGGGATGACGTTACCGTCTCGCTGCTGCCGTGGGAGGGGATGTTGTTCGTTTAGTTTAGGTCGAAAGTTTTGAGTCTTACTGAAGCAAGGGGTTGCTTTCTGTTTCTGTTGGGGAGGTTGCTGCTGCTGCAGAGGATTGCAGAGGCGTGTTGCTTTGCAGTAGGGGCATTTTCGTTTCGGGTGGGGAAGCGTTTGTTTTGGGGGTGGTGTTGCTGCGTGGATGCGGCCGTTCACACTTGTTGGCTTGCTGCGGTTTTTGCCATGCATCACAACAGACAAGGACTAGCAACAGCGAACGAAAACACCCTTCGTTCCAGACAATTGCCCTCCCAAACTGTCAAAACCTCAAAACCTAAACCCTAAACCTTACACCAGCTTGATGAATATCTTTTGAGCTAGCATAGGGAGCCTAAACTTAGTTAAGTTAAGGGGTTTTGGAGTCTCTGGGGGCTTTGGTCCGAGGCTTTGGCTTCAGCAGCCCCAGGGCAGCTTGTGGCCCCCCTCCATTCAGAGCCACTCTGACGCTGCGCCACGGAAGGGTTTTGGGGGAAGCTCCTATATGAGGCTTTGGGGTTTAGGGTTTAAGGTTGCGGGTTTAGGGTTGAGGGTTTTGGGGCTTGGGTTTGGGGTTTCAAGGCTTCTGGGGCTTTAGGGGTTCAGGGCTTGGGGCTTAGGGTTTAGGTCGTGCCACAGAAGACGAAGCTGACACGGGGACTTAATTGAAGCAGCACTATCTCGCCGGGTACAACTTCCGCTGACCAAGGCCACTGCTGTCATCCACATGGCATCTTAGCCTTACGCTTGTGGTAGGACTATAAGGACATCCTCTCAATTCCTAGTAAAACCCTAAAACCCTAAACCCTGAACCCCTAAACCCTAAACCCTAGTAGTCTTAGTTCAGACCTCTATATGTTGCTTAAGCCAGATGCACCGAAGACCTCCTCAAGCTCTCTGCTATGGGCCTCGCTTAGCAGCACCTGGGAGGATGAAACGACGACAGCCCTTGCTCAAAAAAGTGTACCTAACATAGGGGGCTTACTAATTAGAATAGGATTTTGGGGTATAGTATACTACACAGTCATAATAAGGAGCCCCCAAAATAGCATTGGTAATTATTTAGGCCCCTGTATTCGCAAGCCGATCCGAACCCCAAGTCCATCCACACGGTGCTGCGCAACCAATAGAACTTAAACCGGAAATACCGAATACTATAGGGGCCTTAAAAAGTAGAATAGGGTTTGGGGGGTATATTATACTATAGTTATAATATGGAGCCCGCAAAATAGTATAGGTAATTATTAAGACCCCTATATTACCTGTCTGTCGCGATGTACCACCGCTCACATCAAGTCCGCCGTCGTCCGCCCTTCGCACCTCGCGCGGCTTCCGGATCACCTCTTTGCCAGCCTGTGCCTGCGGTTGCATTCGAGGCTATGGGAGGCCTGGTGACCCAATGTGAGTAGCCGATTCCACATGACTCAGTTTTCTCTCTTGTTTGTCTCTCCCTCTCTCACAGAATCCTTCCGCCGTGGCCTTGCTGCCAGCGATTTGGCGAGCGGGGAGGGGGTTACCCTTCAGCTCGGGCTACTGGAATCCGAATCCGAAGACCCCGCTGCTTCCGCGATTCCGCAGATCTACTCGCAGACTACAACACCAAGATCTGTCCGAAGGGGATTGCTGCCGAACCACTGTGATATCACGTGTTGCAACTATGCTTCCCGCTGCTAATCTCAAACAACTGTTGCTTATACCATGACGCCGTGGTTGTCGAAGTGGTAGTTTCAACAGTAGCCGTCGTCGTCGTCCTCGGGACGACGACAGCAGTCGTGACCATGGACCCCACATGATTTTCACTATCATCAACATCACGACCATCATCAGCATCTTCCTCTTCCTCACCATTCTCATCATCAGCATCATCATCATCATCGTACTCCTGGCATCATCATCCGTTATGCCTTGGTGCTAACCGTCTGGTAAACTCCGGAGTCGCACGCCAATTTGCACCGAGTTCAAAGTTCTGAATCCTTATATAGGTTGCTGCTCCAACCTGTCACAGGGTTAGAAGCAGTGGTGTGCCCGCAGCAAATGTGAACCTGGTTCAAGCAAGCGCAAGCCCACACGCAATCGGAAACTGGTAAGCAGGCATGCTCAGCCTACACCTTCAGCTAATCCTAAACGAATTCACGTATTTCTAGCCTTAAAAATTCTATCTCCCACGAACAGAAGACAATTTCGCCCAGTGAGGCACGGCTTTTTGGCACAAGGCCGGGCGGAACAGAAATTTCAGTGCCGAGGCGCCGTCTGGGTCGTGGCCGTTGTCATCAATCTCACCGTCGGGGTTTAGGTGTTTTTCTTTCTTTTGGGGGGTGGGGGGGTTTAGGGGTTTCGGGGGCTACTGTTGCAGTAGCCAATATAAATCCAGAACCTCTTCCCAGTGGCATGAACACTTCGGACAAAAGGAGATGATGACGGTGATAACCACCTACTCTATGGCTGCGTATCGCAGTGAAAAAGAGTGAGTCACTATTGACTGATGACACCCTGGCACAGCTCCAGCAGGTTCCCCCGACGGGACATTCAAAGAGTTATGCCCACTTGGGCACAAAATCTACAATGCTAAGAAATTACCACTCCCCCCCCCACTGTGGCTGATTGCACCGTGGGTTACCGGGTTGGCTCAACCCTAAACCCTTCTCCCAACCCACATCTGACTTCCTAGAGCTTCGCGGCGGCTGGCTGGGGCGCGGATTCAGCGAACATCTTGGCCATCCTGGGTTCTTGCTGAGGAATCAGATTTCAATGCTGCCTTAACAAGGAAACTGTTAAGGAGATTGATTTCAAGCCCATTATTTGCCTTAGACCCCCATAGACCTAAACCCTAAACCCTAGACCTATCGATGGTAACTTAAGCTAGAAGACACCTATAGACCTAAACCCTAAACCCTGGATGGTGACTTAAGCTAGGCTCCGCAAGTCTGAGCCCTAAAGTCTGAGCCGAGCATCTGGGCGAGCTTCGTCGACTGCTTCACGCCAAGGTCGAGCATGATCTCCTCGGAGCCTCGAGTCGAATGAGTTGGGTTTAGGGTTTAGGGTTTTTTGTTTAGGTTTAGGGTTTAGGGGGGTTTAGGGTTTAGGGCCTTAATAATTGGAAAAACGGGGCCCATTATACTATAATATACTATAATTATAATTTGAGGAACTCCCCCCCCCCCTTCCAAAAAAAAATAATAAATAGGCTTGTAATTTGTTTACGCCCCTACTATATTAGGCTTCTTCGGCTTTAGAATGCTTGGGGCTGAGGGGTATAGGGTGAGGGTGTAGTGCTTGGCGCTGAGGGGTGGGCCGGGGTGGAGGGCTCGGGTCTGGGGTGTTTAAGCCGCACAATGACTCTGAGCTCCAAGCCTGCGCACTTCCACCGTTTCGGAACGCCTGAAGCCTAAACTGAGAACCCTAAATCCTGGTTTAGGGTTTCGGGCTTAGGGCTTCACAATCCCTGCTCCACATCGACTGACCTTAGTTTCTAAGGCCACACAGCCAGGGCTTCCAGAGCTGAAAGAAAAGCATCCTAGCATAAACCAAAGTAGCAGGATCCTCGTCAAGAGGACCCCTAAGAGAAATAGAGGACTGAATAATGAAGTGTTGGACATACGCTCCCTTACGGCCCTTGCTTGCTGTTCTAGTATCATATACCCCGAAGCCTCATTCTCATCATTTACGCTCCTGTAGGTCACTATGAATCCCTTCTTGGAACTTGCAAAGATTCCTTTTGAGGAAAATCCTCGTCGAGTTATTAAGGGTTAAAGCTTATGCCGCCAGAGGAGGTCTCTGTGCCCAACTACGCCAAAAGCCACACTGTGAGCTGGCAATCACTAAGGGTTAAGGTGTACCTTAAGAACCCAAAACCCACTTTTTTGTAGGTTCTTATTATTATCTCAGCAACAGACCCC